AAATGTTAATTCGTTAAATTAGCCAGTTTTACAAAGACAAGTCTCATGTGTGTTCTCTGTATATAGAAGATATGATGGGAAGGGACATGAAAACAAAAGGAGGAATGTAAAGGAAAGATAGAAGGGACAACTATGGGTAACACAAGGGTTACACTGTATGAAAGTGTTTAAATGTCATAGATGCATTACTCTGTAAAATCATAATGCTAATAAAATTTAAACAATAAAATAAAGGCGGAGCATACCAACAGAGAAAATTTTTAAAATATTTGGGTAAATTTTATTTTCACATAATTTAAAGGACCAAGGATATCTCCACAAACTTTACAATTCCAACAGTATGTTTGATTTTGAGCTAAAAATATCATCCAAAATGTATATTATCAGAAAAAAATGTTTGGTATCATTAATGCAGATTATCCATAACTGTGTCTCCTATAATATTTTGAAGCTCAGATGTCCAAGTGATACACACAAATAAAGAAACTGCTTTCTCAATGACCATAATTCTCCACTCTCTTGTAAGAAAACAAGATACTCTCTACTTTTATAAACATTCCTCACAAAAGTTCTAACTATAAGCATTCTTGAGATATGTACCATTAGGAAATCTTACAGAACAATTCATTGTGGAAGGTTGTTCCCAGCATTTTAACTTCAAGTTCAACTTTTAAACATACATCAGATTCTTTGTTTTTCAAAATATATGAGCTATATGTAAAAGAAAATGTAAAATTCCGGGACAAACTGGATTGCCATTGATTTTGGAAATCTTAGACACCATGTAATTTATGTATTTTATTTTGTAGATGAAAGCAGTGTAGGAATAGTCTTTGCAAAGAATACATAACTCATTAGTAAAATAACCCAGACTCTTATAATAGTGAATCCTTTCTATAGAATCTGCAATACTAGTTAGTTTTTATCACTGACTAAACACCAAGTAAGTGCATGAGTAGGGAGCTTCAATTGGGGGATTTCCCAGCATAGACTGACCTCTGGCCATTTCTGCAAAGGATCAAATGTTTGTTGATGTGGGAGGGCTTTCTGTGAGCCATGCTACCTCTGGACAGGTGGTCCTGGATTTTACAAGAAGACTAGCTGAGCAAAAGGAAGCTAAAGGGACAGTCAATAAGTTTCTCCATGGGTTTTGCTTCAAGCCCCTACTTTGAATTCCTGCTTTAATGTCTCTCAGTGATGGACTATAATTTGTAAGATGAAATAAAAAGGTCCTTTTATCTTTAAGTTGCTTTTGGTAATTGTGTTTATCAGATCAACAGGAAGGAAACTAAGACATTCTAGGGAAATTGGATAAAAAGACAGCGTGCTACAGAAGAGGTGACAATAGTAATAGTACTTGAAAACTTAGGAATAGACAAACTAATCCCTTCACTCTTTTTTATGTTTTTAAATTCTGTAGATATCTCTTTCCAGTTGGTTGAAGAGGCATTTCCAAATGTTTGATTTAATGATGTGGGAGGAAGTATGTGTGGTAGCTTAGGGATTTTGTCTCAGCATAAGGACTTTTAAATTTTTAGGAAACAAATATTTCATTGATTATTCACCATAAAGTCTATCAGTTTTCAGTATTTTCTACATGCAAGCTTTCTCAACCCTCTTGTTTTCTTACTACTCCATTTAAATGAACAACTAAGCATTTCTAGACATTTAAACAAAACCAGCAGTATGACCAAGAAAGATAAAAATGAGAAGAGAGCTGCCTCTAGAATAAACTAGTACTTTGGGAACCACAAAGCAGCCTAAAAAATCAAGTTAAGATTTTAGGGAATTTGGTAGATTTAAAGATATGTCCAAAATTAATTCATATTCTAAAGAAAAAGAAAAACACCATTCATGTTTTCATAAAAAAATATCCATATGGAGAAGAGCCAAAGTCTGTCAGAAGTCACATTAATGGGTTTAGAAGCAAGTATAAATCCGTGTAAATCCACATGGTAGTCATATGTGTGAGGCTATAAACTGATCTCTTATGGGAAGCCTTGAGATAACTGCAACTCTGGCCTATATCCTGATTGCATATTTTTGTGAGGTTTAGATCCAGAACCACCCTACTAGGTATGTATTTGGAGGCTTTGCCCACAAATACTGGGGCTACTAAATGTTTGTTGTTTAAGTTTGGGAATTACTACACATTTACAGAAAACTAACAGTGATTCAAGTAGAAAGTGGCCATTTATATAAGAAGAGGACACTTTAATTGAAGAGTGATGGGTGATGTGCCTCTGTGTGTTTACTTGGGTTTGAACAGCTGTGGGATCACAGGGCCATGGGAGCTGGGCAAGACACAGGAAAAGTTCTGTCTACAAATGGTGCCCAATATGGGGCACAATCACATGACACTGAGATTAAGAGTCTCATCCTCTACCAACTGAGCTAGCTAGGCAGGACACAGAAAAACTTATGGCTACGGAGAGAGTTTTTTTGAAATTGCATTATAATTGTCATATTTGAATTGAGTAGTAAGATTGAATCCTAGAAAAAAAACCAAAAAGACAAATTAGGGAAGAAGTAAGAAATTCAGTTTCTAATATTGTAATTAGTAGAAAATGCACAATTTTAAGAAATATAGAAAAGACAAGTATCAGGAGAATTAAATGAGCATTGTTCTATTGAAAGGGCCTAAACTTTATTAATTTGAATGATGAATTGTTAAATTGAAAGGACAAATCAAAAGGAAAGAAAATAGTGAATTTGAGAAACCTAAATTCCTTGGAGCTCCCAGAGAAAAAGAAAATAGGTTCCAGACAAAGGATGAAAATTGCTTTTAATATGCACTACACCAGATAGTAGTAATCAGTGAAGTGAAATGATGCTGTTGTGTCCTTAATGAAAGTGGCTTTACTACAGATTTCTACACCCAAGTGGTTTAACCTTGAATTTGACTTAATTGTGTCAAAACACACCAAATATCAGTGGCTTTAAATGTTCAAAGTATATGATATTCAGAGACCTAGCATTTTCTAATTAGTTTTTTGCCTGATTAGAACTATGATTGTATTCTGTAAGATGATCAAATTCATATTCTAGGTGTCAAGCTTCAAGAAGTAATGGGAAAGAAGAGGACAAATTGTTCATGTGAGCTGCATCTTCTGGATATTTTAAAAAAGCAAACACATTATAGTGCTTCTTATATTTTATTGGCAAAATATACTTACATGAGATCCTGACTCTAGCTAGTACTGTAACCAGTTAAATCCTTTATGATTATGGTAGAATAGAAAACAGACACTAACAGACTATTAGTAGTATTTACCACATAGCTATGTTTTAAAATGTGAGAATAGAAAACACTGTGTGATACTCAAGGACAAAAAAAAACAACAATCACTCCTCTAGAATCTGTCTTTGGAATGTAATATAGGAATTTAAGCCATCAAACCAAGAAATGTAAATAAAGAGGGAGTATAAATACACTAAAACTTTTTAAAAGACCCTTGTCTTTTTTTTAAAAAAAGATGTTTTAAAAACTTAGATTTTTGTGATACAGAGTAGATCTTCAGAGAAATCAGTGGAGATAGAATAAAAAAATGGAAGACTTTATAAGGAATGATTTCAGAGAAAATGAGATTTCTTTGAATGTCATGCCATTGAATTCTTAGTATCTGAGCAATGTTAAATAGACTCAGTGGGTTGAATATATGTAATAATGATAAAGAAAGAAGAGGTCATGAATTTGCCAGGAGAATGTGGAAATGAGAGGAGTTGGAGAGAAAGAAGGGTGGAAATGATAGAAATACAGTTCTCATGTAACAAGTTGTCAAAAGAGAAAGAAAGGAAGGAAGGAAGAGAAAGGAAGAAAAAGAAAAACTAAGTAACAGAGGAATAAAGAAAGAAGGGAAGGGAGGGCATCTGAATGTCCACAAAAGGAAAAAAAAAGAAAATATAGACAGATTATGTTCCAGTAGGGATCTATTTAAAGTATGGGATTCTTTTGAATGCAGAAAAGGAAAGTTTGTGGTTATTCACATCTTTATTTGTTTGTTTTAGAATAGTTACCGAGTAAATTAACCTAAAGGCAATGTCATATAAAAGGGAAAATGTCATTAAGACTCTGCTGCTGTACCTTTAACAGTCATCTGTTTTGTAAGGAACATTCTTCGTGGGAGAATTGTTATTAGTGTGTGTATGATGAGCAGAATATTCCACATGTTTGGCACTTAATTCACTGTTAAATGAAGGGATGAATTATACAGAGCACCAGATTTAGATCAATGAAGGATGCCCTGGAAAATAAAAGGAGTCATTCAATGTGTTTGGCATTCAGGAGAAGGTACATACAGAGACACCCACACACATTGATTGCTACATTATGCCCTCCAGATTAGTCATTTGAAATGAGAACATTAATTGGCTGCAGTGCCTAATTCTCAACACAACTATGAAGACACCAAAGAAGGAACCCAGAATACTTTCCTAAGTTACAGCACAGCACTCAAAAGCTATTCACAAGATCTGTGAATGTGGACAGTGACCACCAGCCACTCATTAGCTACAAATGTTCTAGTTTTTCCCATGTGAATGAAAATGCAATTTTTTTTTTGGTTTTTCAAGACAGGGTTTCTCTTGTGTAGCTTTGCTCCTTTCCTGGAACTCACTTGGTAGCCCAGGCTGGCCTCGAACTCACAGAGATCTGCCTGGCTCTGCCTCCCGAGTGCTGGGATTAAAGGCGTGCGCCACCACCGCCCGGCTGAAAATGCAATTTTTGAGAAGGAAATGCAGAGGAATTCTCTATTTGTATGAACTTCTCTTTGAACTGCTTTCTGCCTCCTTAAGGTCAGGAAATCCACTATGGGCTGGCCCCATTGACACTTCAGAGAATGCCTGAAGTTTATTGAGGGCAATATGTCTTTCTTATCCATTTCCAGGGACTGGACAATTATTTGAATTTCCCACTAAGTTACATGGGGGCCTGCTGGAAAGAAAACACCTAAGGGATTATATATCATAGGAGATGCAGCACACATGCAAAGGAAGAAAAGGAAGATATGTTCATGTTGCAGGTAAGCATCATTGATGTAGAAAATTCACAACTTTGAGATCCTGGTTAATTGTGCATTACCCCCAGTTCAAAGGCCTCCTGCTTCTGTTTAAGTAATCATTGTAAGTTATCTGTTTTTCAAATTACTTTAGAAGCAAACTCAAATAGAGAGCATCATCATATCTTAGGGCTAAGGCAGCACATTAGCTTTGCCATTGCCCTGCTGATTTAATTGGCCCAGTAAGCATGCTTGAGGTGTTTAGGATTGTAATTAAAGTTGTGGCGCTTGGAAAATCCTCCGTCTGTTATTATATTTTTTTCTAAAATAAACTCTCCTAGCTCACCAAACTTGTGGAGCTAATTACAGCCTAATTAAAGTTACTTGTTTCTATTTTAAAATCTGTCCACTGAGAGAGCCTTAAGGCAGGAGGGAATATATTTTTAAATTGGCAGTTCTATGGTCCCTGAGCTGCATTGCTCTGATTCATGCATTGATTTATTTCCAATGAAAATGAAGGCCTACCGCCTTTTTTCCCTTGAAGCTCTGCACCACTCTCAGCCCCTTCAGATTTAGCTGTGTAAAAGGATTTGTTTGATGAACAAACAAGCTTTCTTTGTTATGAATCTTCCAGCTGGAGAGGCCGACCCCTCCACTCAGAGGGGAAGTTGTCCAGAAAAATGCTCCTGACAAAATCAGGGCCAGAGAGCACAGGAATCAGTAAAACATTGAATCCACAAAGGAAAAGGACATAATGTCTGTGGATGACATATTCTAGATGTGTCTCTGGGTGCTTTGTACCTGATTTTACTTCAGTGTAAAGGAAAAACTGATGGACTAAGTATCTTGTATACTGTATTGTACAAATAATGAATCAAGAAATAAAGGCAAGTCAAAGTACGTCCCTGAGTACCAGCCTCTCTCCCTTGAGCATCTTTCTCTGCAAAATGGAGTGATAATACCTAGGTGGCCACTTACCTGAGTTGGAAGGTATATATATAGATGAGGAATCTGAAAGCTTTTTACAAAATGTAAACCGGCTTTCATAGCTTGGTCTCAGAAGAACTGTGTTCCTTTTAATATCTTTAATTATTAACCTTTTTCAGGATAACGCTTTTATATACTTTATGTAAGAGCCAACTGAAACACAAGGCTTAACCTGCTTCCATTGTCCCAAGTATTCTTTTTATAAGGGAACACTCTGTTGTATGTTACTAAAATAAGGTTATAATGTAAGTAAGTGAGCCAATATGATTGGAGCTTGTATCTTAATCTTTTCCTAGCTCCACTTTTTATGTGACCCTGCTTTTATGTGTGTGTGATTTATATTCTTGTATGTCTGTGTGTGTAAATGTGTGCCTATGGAAGTATGCACACATATGTGCATCTGCATTTGGAGGCCAGAGGTTGATATAAGTTGTGCTTTTCAATTACTCTCCACCTTATTTTTTGAGACAATAACTCTCACTAACCATGAACTTTACCAATGTAGCTAGACTGGCTGACCAAGAAGTCCTGGGGATTCTCTTATCTTTGCACCTCTAGTCCTGGATTACAGGTGCATATCGATATGTGTCTGACATTTTACATGGGCATTAGGAATCTGAATGTAGATCTTCAGACTTACACAACAAACACCTGAGACTGAGCCATACTCCATCCCCTTGTGACCTTAAATTACTAACAACTTAAACAAGACATGCTTATTTAACAAAAATGTCTCTCAAAAGCACATATATTTGAACACTTGGTACCTAGTTGATGTTTGCGGAGTTGTCTTATTTATTTTTCTATTGGCATGAGAAAACATCATGACCAAAACAATTTATAAAATAATGTGTGTAATTTGGAGCTTATAGTTTCAAAGGGTTAGAGTCCATGACCATCATGGCAGGTAGCATGGTAGCAGGCAGGCAGGCATGGTGCTGGAGCAGTACTGAGATCTTACATCTTGAGAGACAACCATGAGGCAGAAGGAGATAACTCGGAATGGTGTTGGCTTTTGAAACCTCAAAGCCTGACTACAGTGACACATTTCCCAACAAGGCCACATCTCCTAATTCTTCCCAACTGGGGATGAAGTTGTGACAAGGCAGCTTCCAGCTCCTGCTACCATGTCATGTTTTCCTTGCCTTGATGGACTCTATGCCACTGGAACCATATGTTAAAATAAGCTCTTTCTTTCTTAAAGTTTTTTTGGTTTGTGGTGATACTGTATTTGTGCTTTAACAAATAAAGTTTGCCTGGGGATCAAAGGAAAAAGCCAGCCACTCTATTAAATAAGGTCAGGCAGTGGTAGCACACTACTTTAATCCTAGCATTCAGGAGGCAGAGATTGATGTGGATCTCTGTGAGTTCAAGGCCACACTGGGAACAGCCAGGTGTGGTGGCACTTGCCTTTATTCCCAGCACTAGTTAACCACGGTCTGGAGGTCTGTACAGACAGACAGGAAGTGATAAAGCTGGGTGGAAAGAGGAAGTGATGTAGCTGGGCAGAGAGAGGAACTAAGATGGCAGGGCACAGAAAGGTACATAGGAGTGAGTTTACAGGAAGTAGCTCTCTCTTGGGCTGAGGATTTCTTAGCGGTAAGAACTTGTGGCTAGGATTGTTCTGTTCCTCTGATCTCTGAGTTTTCATCCCAATATATGGCTCTGGGTTTTTTTTTATTAATAAGACCATTTAGCAATTTGTGTTATATTGGTTCTGGTATTTTATCTCAGCAAGAGAAAAGTAACAATATACAAGCAAATTCTCTTCTAGGCCAATCTGATTTCTTGGGCATTTTCATATCATACACCAAAATCTCTCTACCTTTACTTTCTTCTTTTACCATAGTTAATACAGTCAGAATGGACACAGGGCCTGGATGTGGGTGAGTTGAGTAAAGTATCCAGGACATAAAATTAAAGGAAACTTCCATTCTCAATATTGTACAAATGCAGAAGTAGTATCTGAAAATAAGTCCCTCTTTAGATTTATTCCGTTGGTACCCTACTCAAATTTCATACATTTTCTGTGACATACTATCATATATTTTATAATAATATATGCTTCAAACATCTTAAAACATATTTGCAAACATTTTTAAAGGGCTACTGCTCATCAGTTTCTGGCTATTCCCTTTTTTAAATTTGGATATCTGTTACTTATGTGATCTGTGGCAGTTTTATATAGTATATACCACCCTAGTACAGAATCTAGATTATAAACTAAACAAAAATAGTTACAATTTATTGATTGCATACTGAAAGGCAGATCTCCAATTAGCAACTTTGCATATATCATTTTTAATCATCATAAAATCTCTTTCTTAATAAGGGAACTGTTACTCAGAGAGGTTTAATTCAGCTTAAAAAAGTCAACATTCTTTTTAAGCTAGTACAAATTTTTTGATTGATTGTAGCAGGCAGGTGATGGATGAAATTCCCATTGGCTTTGTTAATTTGTGTCATCATGTAGAAGGCTCTAAATAAAAACCCCAGGAGTTTTAAATTACAGTAAAAGATCTCTGATAATTTGATTAGGAATGAAACTGAAATTTGAGGCTAAGCTCAATAATACAGAAGTTAAGCACCTGTATTAAAAGTTTGATATGGTACTGAGATGGCTCAGGGATGAAGAACACTGGCTGCTCTTGCAGAGCACATGGATTCAGTTTCCAGAACCAACAGCAAGTGGCTCACAACCATATATAATTCTAGTTCCTGTTGTCAGAGTTTTATGTGGGGACCACTGGCTCCCAAATAACCACAGAGACTTATTATTAATTATAAATGCTTGGTTCATAGGTTAGGCTTATTATTAACTAGCTCTTACATCTTAAATTAACCCATATTTCTTATATATGTTCTACCACATGGCAGTATCATTTTTCAGCACAGCATATTGATTTCCTGCTTCCTCTGCATCTGGCTCACAACTCTCCATGCCCTCACCTCTCTTCTTCCCAGAATTCTTTCAGTTTGGCTCTCCTGTCTAACTTCTTCCCATCTAGCTACTGGGCAATCAGCCATTTTTTAAATCAATCTGAGTGACAAATCTTTATAGTGTACATAGAGATTATTCTACAGCAAGTTCAATGATGTCTTATGCCCTTTTCTGTCCTTTACAGGTGCAAAGGTGTGTGGTATTCATACATATATACATACATACATACATACATACATACATACATACATACATATTTCTGTCATATATAGATGAACTTTTAATAAAAAATATTTAATATGTAGGGAGCGTCAGAACACACTATGGATACTGTGGAACTAAGATAGGAGTTTGAAGTAGTTGAGGGAATGTTGCTTTACTGCCAGGAGTCCCAGAACAAGTATTTGTTGGTGAGTGGAAGCTAGAAGAGGGTAATTCAGTAAAGGTCAATCATAAATATAAAAAATATAACTGGAACATGAGATCACATTAGATCCCTTAAAAGGAATAGTTTTATGAAATACTAGCACAGGATAGGGAGGATAATACCAAGTTAAATATAAAGAAAATAATTTCAATAAAATAATAGAAGAAGAATCCTCAAATATAGAGATATCCAACTAAGTACAAAGGATACACAGAATATCAAACAGACAGGGACAGAAAATTAACTCCTTGTGACACATTATAGGCAAAACACTGAAAACACAGAACAAAGAAAGGACATCAAAAGTTGCAAGAGAAACGGAGGAAGTCCCATATAGTGGTAGGCCCATCAGAATAACTGATAAAAAACTTTTAAATCCAGAGGGGATTGGAAAAATATATCATAAGCTCTGAAAAACCACAAGCTAACTATTAAAAATGAAGGATCATTAAAAAATTTCAATGATAAAAACAGAATATTAGAATTTATAGCCACTAGTTCAGCTCTACAGAGGATACTGGAAGAAATACTTTAGATTGATAAAAAATATAAATACACCCAAGTGATCAGAGTGCAAAAATAATATCAGAATAGTTAGTCAAAAGAGTGCAAAATAAGCAAACTATAGGAAATCATACAAATTTTTCAATAACTCTGATTATTGATTGT